AACAGATACAAACTACTATGTATAAAGTAGAGAAGCAACAAGGATAAATTGTATAGTACAGGGAATTATAGTCATTATCTTACAATAACTTATAATGGAGTATAATCTAATCTGCAAAAATACTGGATCACTATGTTACACACCTGAAGCTAATATTATAAATCAACTATACTTCAATAAAAAACATGTTTGCTCAAAAGAAAGGAAAAATAAATATCAAATTTGTCTGAAATAATTCTTTTACAGCCTAGCTTAATAATGAAGTATATTTCAAGTTAATTATCCTGATTTTGAAAAAAACATAGACTTGCTTTACACAAGTAGCTATTGATAGGTTTATACTTGAGCACAAATATGTTATGTCTATATTCTTCAACTATAGCAAGAACAGGTGAAGCTCTGTAACTGTCTTTTCAGTAAATTATAATCACAAAAGCAACTTACTTTTTTTACAGTATCTATTAAGACAACCAAAAATTGGGTTACCTGAAATCATATGTGTCATCCTAGCCTAAAAATGTCATCTCAGTTTATTTTTTCTAGAAATTGGTGAGACTGACTTCTGGGCCCAAATATCAAGACTTTTCTCATTTAAGTCTTTAAAATTGAAATTCTTTACTCCACAGGCTAATGAACTCAAATCATATTAACTTTCAACTTATGTTGTAACATTTTGTTTTTCTCTTACAAATGAAACCCTAATAGCATTAACTAAAAGGCTTATTTGGGGTTTGGCTTAAATTCTAGAAACAGTGAATGCTAGGAATGGAAGAAAAGGAATTTGAAGCCTATTTTAAAATACTGGGTTTGTTTTTCAAGACTCACTATTATTTTAAAACACTTTTAAAATTTTAAGAATAAGTAGGATTTCTACCAAAGCATATTTTCACAAAGTTCTATGAATCACGTAGAACTAAAATAATAGTGCCACTGTATACCAGAAGAGACTCATAAAGAAATGTACTAGCATAGAATTCATTCTTTCATTCATTTTCTATATTCATCCTTTCTTAATTTCTGGAGTTAAATATTTCTTCCCTTCTGCTTCCTAGGTGCCCTCTAAACACTTTCACTATGACACATATAAAAATGACTTGCACTGTTGGTTTATTGGTCTGCCTTCTCCATGACACTCATATTATGTTTATCTTTAAAATAAAAGATATATCCTCTTCACATTTGCATCTGCATATGGTAGATGCTGTCTACAATACAGATATTGCAAATATAGATATATACGGTAATCCATATGTTAAACATTGTGAGAGTTTAATAACAGTGAGAAGCTTTAATTACAAGAAACAGCATTGTATGATTTAAAAAAAAAAAGTACTAAACCAAGGAATCAAAAATCCCAGTTTTCCACCGTCGATAGCAGAACAGCCTTGGGAAAATCACTTGAATGAATTTGGAGAGTCTAAGTGATATCATCTTGGTTGAAAAAAATGAATTTACTGATTCAAATTCAAACTTAAAATAATCTTATTAGAAAGGCTTTGTCACCACCACAGTAATGGGCACTTGTCCCTAAGCACAACTCAGTGGCAATTCAGTAGATCTGAAGTTAAAGTGTATATTTATCCCCCTCCACAAATCCCAGCTAACATGGTTCACCAAGTCATCCATGTTTTGACCACAGCCACATCTCATTAACTTGTGTGTCCCAAGTATCTACTGCCTGGACGGATGTCTTAAATCTCGAGCTCTCTGCGCTCATTCTTTAATATCCAAATAAAATAGTTTTAACCTCATTTTATGTGTTGTGCAAAGTCTGTGACCTTCCCTAGATCTAAGAGGAATCCTGAATACTATTATCAATTCCTCCTTCTGTTCAACTCTCAATCCACAGCTCATTAGTTTACTTCTCATGACTTTTTTTTTACTCCTTCTCCCTAACATTCTTCTGACAACTCTCTGAGCACTTGGTTGTCTTGAGTGATGAGATTCCTCGGAAGGATGGCGTATCACTTAGGGGTTTAGCTCATGCCTCAGAAGAGACAGTCATTCATATGTACTGTTTTAAAGATCCATGGCCATCCCTTCTAAGGGGGATTAATCACTAATTACTCTTGCCTTTAGGACTTCGCTGGCTGCCATATTACATTTCTTCTCTCTACGAGAGAAGAATCTTTGTTTTTCCAAAGCCAGAAATTAACCTTTCTTCCACTTCATTTTGTAGAATTATTTAACTTTTATTTGTCTAAAACATTCTTACTTAGACTTTGTCTTTCAGTGCATTGTCTGTAAGGTATTTTCTCAAGCAGAAGAGCCATTCTCATCCCCAAAGGAATGTTGTCTTTTTCCAAGATCAAAGAGTTCAAGCTGCATTGAGCTTTCTAAATAGCCTCTTTTTTCATTTTTTTATACTTGTAATGAAACAGATATAGGGTACTTAAATAATTCAGATTTTGTCTTTTTTATGCATTTGTGTAACTTTTGCACAATTGATATTTCTCAATGTTGGACTGCCCTCTGTTCCCACAGGTATACAGTTATAAGACCATCTCAAAATGCTTTATCAGATAGTCACTTCACAATACTTTAAGGTGAAGGCCAATTTGGGATGACTGGTTTTCTCTTCCTTTTTGATTACTGTATATTTCTTTTCTGCTCATATAGAAATTCTGTACCATCCCTTTCCACAGCAGTCAAGCATAAGCAAATGCAGAGGGTAATGTGAAATACAGCTAATAGGTACAGATAAATAATATATGTTACTTTTCAGAGCAGTTTTAAGTTCACAGTGAAATTGAGTGGAAGGTACAGAGGTATCCCGTATATTCCCTACCCCTACACATGCTTCGCCTCTCCCATTATCAGCATCCCCTACCGCAGTGGTACATTTGCTATAATCTATGAGCCTACATTGACACACCATTATCACCCAGAGTCCAAAGTTTACATTACAGTTGTACATTCTGTGGCTTTGGACAAATGTATAACGACATGTACCACCATTAGAGTATCATACAGAGTATTTTCCTCTCTGCTCCACTATTCATCCCTCCCACACCCTCATCCCACCCAGAAACCACTGATCTATTTACTCTCTCTATATATATATAGTTTTTTGTGTTATATTTTTATAGCTACTGTGTCTTTAATGCCCTGACCTAGATTTTTGCTCCAGCTTACCTAATTATTAATGTAAAACAATATCATATAACATAGATTCAGCAACAACTCTAAGATATTTTAAAACAAATGGAAACACAAGAAAACCATCCTGTGACAGTTAATCTTCCACCTGGCCCCAGACATTTGTCAAAACTTCTGCTAAAGGCATTTATACTCCTCTCCTCTTTTCCCTTTTCCCTCCTCCTCATTCCAGCTCTGAAGCATTCTCTCTTTCCCCGCCTCTGCTTTCTAGCTGTGGCTCAGCTTTTAGGCAATAGCACCAGAATGTTCAAAGGAATAGGGCTCTTCCACAAGCTGAATGTGACTGACGTGCCTTGCCCTGCAGTTTGTCAATGAGAAATGTAGAACCAAGAACATGAAAAAAATGCTTACCCTTAAGGAGCTCTTGAAAGGAAAAGAACAGTCTATAAACAGTGATAGCCCTTAGAAAACCTGAAGAATTCAAACACTGTCTTTGGAGGTAACAAAGCTTGGATAAGAGTCTTCTCTAACTCCAATTAAAAAAAAAAAAGCAACACCAACACAGAAAATATGAACATTTTAGAGGTATTTCAACTGACAATTAGCCTTCAGTTGTTTCGTTTTGTAGAAACACCACTTACTACTGCATCAAAATAACCTACCCTACTCCTTAACCAAAATCGTGCAGAAAATGGTTAAGCTGCTTGGGGTGGAAACAGTGACAAAGAGAGGAAGAAAATCAGCTATTTGGAAGTTTTTGTAAATATGTATAAATGTCTTTTCCCTTCATTTCTATTTTAAGTTACAATTTATCTAGGGAAGAATTCTGAAGGAACTTCAATAGGGTGGTTACAGT